AGGACACAAGATAACACACCCACCCCCGGGACCGTTTTTAAAAGTTCTTTTTTTCAACAGCAGAAAGAAACAAAGGGAGCGCCCAAGACCGGGGCGTGGAAGCGTTTTCGTGGAGATTTTTCGGAAAATGTATCATTTGGTTCAGGCATCCTTCTTTTTGGTGGGGGAGTAATCCAAGGGAGGGGGCATTTTTTTAATTTTTGTAGCCGTTCTTGGGGGGGGGGGGGGGGGTTGTGTCGTACCATGCGATATTTAATGAGACTCTCGTTTGTTTCTCGCCCACTCCGCACCCGAGCAGCAGCAATAATAACTGCTGCAGGTAGAACCGGCACTCACTTAACTATAACTTTCTTTGCTCCTAGTTTTCACGCACATGTTGTTGTTGTCTTCACGTTCCGTCCTCTCTTCTCATAGATCGAAGTTGTTCGAGGTCATAACCAATACTGCTATGTACTGTATGCACTTCAGATATATATGTAGGCCACCGCCGTATATGTACATATACGGAGGGCCATGGCGGAGGTTGCACCAAGAGGGTAAAAAAAAAAGTGACCAAAAGTCCAGGGAGCAAGAAGTTTCCGGACATCAATCATCAGGTACAGGGTCGAAGGCGTAACAAAGGGCAACAACAACAACAACCCAATCTTGACGCAAGAACATGGTGAGATTTCTTGGTTTGGAGTTGACCACCAACAGGATCAATGATGATTGCCGCCGCCTGCACCTCGTATACTCGGAAGAACCATTTGCTTGTTCATCATCTCGGAGCGTGGTTGACATTTGTTTGGTTATATATACCCACTCTCCGGGACGCAAAATAACGTACGCACGGAAGATGAGCGAAACAGCTCAACATTCCAAGACGAACAAAAACGCTGCTCCCAGTAATGGCGCGTGCTGCCAAGCGAAAAGAATACCATCATATATTGAATTTACACACACAGCTTGTCACCACACTTTGAAGTCAGCAACAAACAGAAAAAACCCTCACACACAACTCTCTCCTTTAAAACCCCTGCGAATACATGCACTTCTACAATATGACATATGAATGGCTCCCGGCAGCCATGAAGCGATCGCACGCACGCACGCACGCACGCACGCACGCAAAAAACAAAAACACGAACGCACACAATGGCGACACAAAAATACTACAATATGCATAGCAACGGCGACAAAATAACAACAAAAAACATAACCAACAGCAACAACGAAAACAGCAACACAAGGAAGGGCAGCACGCCCGGTACATTTTCTGGGGCCGCCTTGCCGAGAGAATTCAGCTCATGAGGAAATAGATCAGGGAGGGGGGTACGCAGACCCTAACCCTAACCCTAACCCTAAACCCAAACCCAAGGTCCCCGAATGCATGCATGTTAAGTGTCAAAACCGAAAAACCCGAAAGGTTTATCAGGTAACTAACTAGAAAAACGCTGCGAAGAAGGCGTTTCTACCGATTTTCGGTGACATTCCGCGTTTGTTTCTCTTCTTGCTTCGAGAACGAGCGCATCGAAAGTAGCAAGCAAGCAAGCAAGCAAGCAAGCAAGCAAGCAGGGACAATTCTCTCCGTCCCTCTGAAGAAGCAGACTTCCCTTGTGCTTAGTTAGCTACAGCTGAAATTCCGCCATTTCTTAGAGCGCGAGCACGCGCACACACTACACGCCGCTCTCCCGCTGTGCCCAACAAGCAAAATGAACTCCTGTATTACTCCTTCTTCCCCTGTAGACCCATGCCTCGGAAGCGCGAACGCGCACGTGTCCGCCTTGCACGCCTTCCCCCCTGCACTCAACTCGCTTCTCACTTCTGGACGCGGAAGCAAAAAAAAAACACATGGCACGAGATACAATAGTGGGTCCTGAGCGAGGGTATGTGCCCAGGGATTGTACCCGCACTATACCGGAAACCGGCACTAAACCGGAAACCGGCACTATTCAATCATTTATAATTCACAGAACGACGTGTTGAAATCAGCAAGTGTGTGCGAGCGGGAAACACCGGCACATTACCGGGCACCCGGCACTACTCGACCGGCACCATACACGTAGCTCTCGTCACAACACGCGGACCATTAACCCTTGCTGCTTCTGCTGCTTCTGCTGCTTCTGCTGCTGCTGCTGCTGCTGCTGCTGCTGCTGCTGCTGCTGCTGCTGCTGCTGCTGCTGCTGCTGCTGCTTCTTACAACAACCTGGGAAGCCGCTCCAAAACCACGCACACACCGCGCACTGATTCGGGTACCTCAAAAAAATAAGAAAAAAAAAAACGCGAGAAAAGGTCATCGTCTCTCGGTTCCGCCTGAAGTCATCTACGTGCCAAAATCGACCAATTCCTAGAAAGCACCCACCCCGAGTCCGCTGTTCCTCGGAGGTGCTATCTATCCGGAGTCTCTTCCCTCATGTACGCCTTGGCTTGCCTCTACTCCAGGGAAAAAACACAAACTTTCTGACACCGTGGTGCTCCTTAATTTTCCCGCATGCCCGCTCTCTTTCCGAATCCCAACACGCCTCCACAAACCACAGCTACCCCCCCCCCCCCCCCCTGGTGGGAATTTTTTTAAAG